CCCCCCCCCCCTTCCCCCCCACACACAAAACTATACTGAGGCAGGTTGAGAAGTTAGCAACTAACTTCTTTTGGGGAATGGAGAAATATAAAAACAAATACCACTGGACCTCTTGGCAAAATCTAGCATTTCCAACTGAGAAGGAGATGTTGGATTCAGATCAATGGAGGATATCTGCCAAACCATGAAATACAAAAAATGGTGGCTTTTCAAAACTAAAGAGTCACTATGGAGCCAGTTTAGCGGAGCTAAATACTGCCAAAGATCAAATCCCATTTCCAAAAAAGGGAATTCTGGGCAATCACAAACATGGAAGAAAATTATGACTAACAAAAGAGAAGTTGAAAAACACATAATTCGGAGACTATATTCTAGTAACTGCAGTTTTTGGTGGGACAACTGGTTGGGAGCTGGTGCACTTGCTCAATATAGAAATGCAGGAGGAAGGCCAGGCAACATAACTATGGCCAATTTCTGGGACCAAGGCCAGTAGAATTTGCAGAAGCTGAATGAAGTTGTCCCAACACCTTTAATACCTGCCATCCTTCAAATCCAAATTCATCACAACCCTCAACTCAATGACCAACCTATTTGGATCCCAAATGTGAAAGAAAACTTCACATGCTCCTCTGGATGGGACTTGATCAGAAAGAAGAGGTAGATATGTTTCTCTAATAAAATGACATGACATAAGAGAATCCCTTTTAAATCGTCCTTCTATATGTGGAGATATCTCATACACAAATTGCCTACAGATGATAGGATTCTCTTATTTAGTAGTCCTACTGTATCCAGATGTGTATGTTGTTATATACCAGGGGCAGAGTTTGTGGATCATATTTTCAGTAGGGGTCACTTTGCATTGGCAGTATGAAAAAGGTTTGCAGGACCAGCTTGTATCCACACTGCTGAAATGCCTCTGAGACTTCTTCTGATGAAATAGTGGCTTCACAAAATAAAGAATGAAGTGCTGAAGCTTTTACTTGACATTGTACCAACCATCATCTGCTGGAACATTTGGAAGAATAGGTGCAATGCAAAATATGGCACCAAAACTTCCTCCCTTACTAGAGTCATCTACTCCATCAACTCAGATATTCACATGCTCATGAAAACAACCTACCCTTGAATCTGCTGGCCACTAAACTGGGAGGATCTATACCCCATTGCTGAGAGCATCAAACACTACATCAATATCAGGCAGGTTGTTTGGAGCAAACCTGAACAAAGATTTGTAAATGTCAACTGTGGTGGGAGTGCACTGAAAAATCCATGAAGTATAGAGGAAGGGGAAATAATAAGGAGCTGCAGTGGCGGGAATGTGGTGGGGAAATTCCATTTACCCGGAATCACCAGGATAATTGTTGCTTCCCCTCTTCTGTCAACAAGTTTTTTTGGTCACTGCATTGTCCACCACTCGGTAGTGTCATATATGATTCAAGACAACAACCAAGAAGCATTAATATTTCTGAATTTTTGGAGTTGATTGCAATTGAGCAATCAACAATATGCAACACATGTTTTGGACAGTTTTCTGCACAGGTTTTGGCATCTACTTGGGTTACCTTCACAATGGCTTCCTTTATTGTTCAAGCTAACATGAAGATAACTTTGATGTATCCTTTACTACCTATCCTATGTTGTTGTATTATGATTTTGTCATCTTACATAGGGAAATCATGTCTTTTGTTGTATTATAAGAGCAAATTTATATTGGATGAGTCTTCTGAATCTAGTCTTATAGTTGACCTAACTTTACCCAGTTTTTGTAAATCATTAGGCTACCATTTTTGGTTAGTAAAATGGTACACTCATTTAGGTCTGACTACACATACTTGTAAGGGATCAAGTGGCTATAGATTTAGTAGTCATTTGATACCAACCACTTATTCGGAGATAAAGTTTATGTCCCCCTCCTTATTGTACTTTAGTTTTATATATATGAAAATCATCTGTAGGAACAATCCCTAGTGGATTAACCAAAAAAAACAAAAAAAAATGTTGGCAATTGAGGTATCAAGCTACATACAGTTGCTCCTAAGAAAAAAACTCTTGCCTCTCTCTTCTCTCTCTCAAGGAATGGCGACCTAGAGCCCTTTCATGGCTTCCAACGTCTCTTCCAATATTTGGCTGTGGGAGAGTAGAATCATAACCCTAATGTGACAAATACTAGCCTTAATCCTAAGAAGTCATATGCAGCGTGATTTGTTACCAAAGAATCTACTCAAAATCGTCAAAATATAAGTTTACTTCCAATTAAAATTGATCATGGAGAACCAACCATTGAATTTACCATGGAGGAGGTTAACGAGTTCACCATCGAAGAAGAGCTACACCAAGCAGTCATCGTCAAGTTTTTATATGGAAAACCAGAGTTGCATGAGTTTAGAAAGATTTTTGCGAAACAGTTCGAGGTTAAAGGATATTGTAACATTGGGCAGCTTAAATTTCGACATATATTAGTAAGGTATGATTTACATGATGACTATGTCTAGTTCGTATCAAGGTCTACTGGATATATTAAATCTAAAGGGGATGAATTTTTCTTTAGAACATTCCAATGGATGTTAGGTTTCAATCCTAGAGAAGAAACATCGAAGTCAGTTGTGTGGATTTCTTTGCCAGACCTGCCCCCTAATTGTTTTGCAAAAACATCGTTAATGTCGATCGCTTCAGCAGTAGGGAAATCTCTTGCTGTAGACAAGGTGACACAGGATTGTACTAGGCCAAGTGCTGCGAGAGTTAAGGTTTTGTTAGTCCTTTTGGACAAACATCCTAAGAAATTTAAGATTCACATTGTCGACAAAGGTTCTGGGAAGTATGTGGAGTTTCATCAACAGGTGGTGTATGATAACCTCCAAAAGTATTGTACCTTCTGTAAGCATCAGGGACATGATGAAAGCTCATGTCGATCGATGCAGGGAAGAAACAGGGAAGTGAATGAAGAAAATACAATGCAAGTTGATATGACTGGTGTGGAGCTGAGTAATGTTGAAGTTAAAAGGTGATGCTAGGGAGTTGTTGAATGCCAAACGAGCTGCAAATAAAATTCAAGAAACTGCAAATATTGGGGTGCAGCTAGCTATGAAATCAACATGTGATACCAATAGAGAGGATCGTGGATGTGATATTGATACAAATCATGAGGCTAATGTAGTTACTATTAATCGAGCATTAGCTCGGATTAACACGACTTTGGAGCCACATGTGGGGAAGGATAACGTTGACAAGGTTGCTGGTGAGAATGAAGAGGAATTAGCTGGGCAGGTGGTTAATAATCCAGGTAAAGCTGGTACTATTTCATTAATAGTAGGTGCATGATCTGTCACAACTAATACTCTTGAAGCAGTTGTCCAAACATCTAGATTAGATGTTACTGGTATTAGAGGATCTAGTGTTAAAGGGGCTGGGCAATTTTGTAATGGCCAGGGGAAGGAAAAGGATCATCAGGGTACACAAGCAGCAATAAAAATTACTGTTGCTAATATGGGAAGACAGGCAACTGATCGAGGAGTCTCCAGTAGTACTCAGGTTGCTGGTGCTTTAATGCACCTGGAAAATATGGTGATCGATTGATGTTTCATGAGCAATCAACTACTAGAATTGCAGTAGCTATGAATAAGTTCTCACAGGTGTTAGAGGGGGAAAAATAGGCTGCTGGAATTGCTAAAAATCCTGCTGCATTAGTTGATCTAGTTGAAAAACCAGCAGCCCTTGTAGCTACTATTGTACAAGCTGTGCAGCTACTTTCTCCAGGAAAAATTGGACGTGATTTTGGTGGCAAGTCTGTTACAGCTCACTTGGAGACAGCAGATACTCAAAATTCAGATGTCCAAGCAATGCAAAAATCAAATGGTAGGGACTAGACAGTGGTGAATCGATCACCAAAGAAGCAGAATGCTCTAGTTAGTAAAAACCAGTCTACTGCATCAAAGAATGTAAGTGTCTCCAACTCCTTTGATGTATTGTTGAATGAATCTGTGTTGGGTGATTTTGAGAATATTGTACATCAGGTTGTTCATGATTTAGTCTCAACATCTACGCTTTCTAAGCCTCAAAGCAGTGTCAAACACCAGCAGTCCAAGAAGAATGCAGATGCTGGATAAAAAGTCTCAAAGGATCTTGCTCTTGCTTCTGTCGACGAACAAAAGGCTATGGCAGTACCTAATGCATCCTCACCAACTTTACACATATCCAATCCAGATTTGGACAAAATGGTAAAGGATGCTCAGGCTGAAATGGTAGTGAATACCACTACTGGCAAGTAAGCTTACAGTTCCAATACACCTACATTGCATTTTTCCAGTCCTCGTATGGAACAAATTATCAAAGATGCCCTGGCATCAATGGTAGTGAATACCACTATGGTTAAACAACCAATAGTTACTTTGAACACATCTATATTTGAAGTTCCTTCACAGTCAGCTGAGTCTTTTGGTGAGTATGGAAGCTAGTCTGGGCAGTTGATGCTGTCCACTAGAAATAATAATGAAATTGTACAAGCAAATTTGAGAGAGATGGTTAGTAAATCCAAAACTTTGGCTGACCAAGGTGAGGAAGATGAAGAAGAGGACTTGGGGGATGTGGAAGCTGGGGAATCTACTGATTATGCTGTTCAAGAGAGTGAAGATGAAGATGTGCTTTCATTAGGCTCACCAACACTGCCAAAAACATACTCGATTTCCAGTTGCAAAAGCAAGCTTAACTTGAATGCTCCAGCATTCATTCCCAGAAATTCTCCATGTGGTGCTACAAGCCAAAATTCAGTAACACCTACATCTATTGTGCAACAACAACAACTTAATCTAAACAATTCAGTTGTTACTACTACTGATGATCGAAATGCAGCAACAACATCAAAGGTTGGACAACAACAACAGATTGCAAGCACTCCAGGTGCTGCAGTGACGCCTTCAAATGCTGGACAACAGTAGCAGGATATAAGTACAGTAGTTATCTCGTTGGAGGACAAAAAGCTACTGGACGCTTTAGTAAGCTTTAAGCCTGTAAATTCATTAACTTCATCTCAAGTTGTTAGCACTGGACATGTGATTAATAACGGGAACAAGATGCAAGGCATAGAAAAACATCAAAATACGGCAGCTTTGGCAAATACACAAGATGAAAATGCCTTGATGACACTTGATCGCGTCCAAAATTTTCCCCATCCAGTGAACATGGGAAAAGATCTGTATGAGGAAGGAGAGGAAGATGAAATTTATCGCCTATGCATAGTGGTAAAGGTAAGAAATCACATACAAGGAAGAAGAGTTGGGAAGACAAGGTAAATGAGGAAGTAACCATTAAGAAACCACCAATGAGGGATGCAAAACACAAATTGAATGCGTCGATAACATCAACAAGATCCAACAAGTCCAACCGATCAAAGAAGAAATGATGAAATTTGAATACATCTTTATGAGGGTACATAATGATGACAAGATTCTACAAGTCGAAAATTTCACAAAGATAGAGTATAAAGGTCAAGAGTATAAAGGTCAAGACACTAATTCCTACATTATTTTATTTTACCATTTTATTAGCATAATAATATGTAATATCACCATAGAGTATGTTATCAATTCTATGATGATCATACATTACTTAGTTTGTGCTACTTCATATTTTTTACATTCTGGTTAGTAGGCGAGGCTATTAATGCCTCAGAAGGAATTATGAGGTAAGGTTTAGCGCAATATGTACTTGCTCATTGCCTACGCCTTTGGAAAATATCCATACAGCTATGAGAACGTTCGCCCTCGTGAGACTATGCCAACAACCTAGTGAGGCCGTGTCAAAGGGCATTGGAGGCGCACAAGGATGATTATATATCAAAGGCATAGCGACAAGAATACTATAGCTTTTGTTCCCCTTACTTGTAATCTTCCTTTGTGGTTTTACAGTTTATTATTAATATAATAAAACTACTAGGCAACATGCCTAGTGATCTATTTGCTAAAAAAAAAACAATCTAGCTACATACTCAACTATGTCTTTCTTCATCCGCTGCCACCAATAATGCTGCCTCAGGTCGCGATACATCTTCGTAGCACCTGAATGAATGGAATACCGAAAACTGTATGCCTCCTCTAGAATCCTCTCCCTCAATCCATCCACATTAGGAACACATAGGCGACCCCTGCAGTCGTAGAACACCATCATCGCCGATAGAAACCTCCTTGGCACCACCCTGTAGTACTGTCTCTTTGAGAACCATCAAATGCGGATGATCAAACTGTCGAGCCTTGATCTGCTCCAATAATGAATACTAGGCAACAACGCATGCAAGAAATCGACTGGGCTCAGAAATATCCAACCTCCCAAGTCTGTTAGCCAAGGACTGAATGTCCAAAGCTAGTGGCCTCTCATCTGCTGAAATGAATGCCAGGCTACCCATACTCTCTGCCTTTCTGCTCAAGGCATCTGTGACCATATTCGCCTTGCCCGGATGATAAAGAATAGTGATATCATAATCCTTCAGTAACACAAGCCATTTGTGTTACCTCAAATTGAGATCCCTTTGCTTGAACAAATGCTGCACGCTGCGATGATCAGTGTAAACCTCACAGGACACCCCATAATGATAATGCCTCCAGATCTTAAAAGCGTGAACAATCACAGTTAACTCTAAATCGTGCACAAGGTAATTCTTCTCATGGATCTTCAGCTGACATGAAGCATATGCAATAACTCAACTTTCTTTCTTCAATACACAACCCAAACCAACGCGTGAAGCTTCGCAATACACTGTATACATCCCCGAACTGGAAGGCAACACTAGAACTGGTGATATAGTCAAGGTTGTCTTGAGCTTCTGAAAGCTCATCTCATAATCATAGAACCAACAGAACGGAGCGCCATTTTAGGTCCATCTAGTCAAAGGTGCTGCAATAGATGAGAAGCCATCCAAATCGGCGATAATAACCTGCTAACCCCAAGAAGCTCATGATCTCAGTTGCTAAAGTGGGATGAGGCCAACTCTGAACTGCCTCAATCTTCTTGGGATCCACCTTAATACCCTCACCTGATAAAACATGCCCCAAGAATGCTACAGAATCTAGCCAAAACTCACACTTGGAGAAATTAGCATATAGCTTTTGTTACCGCAATATCTGAAGCACCGCTCTCAAATGTTACTCGTGCTCCTCCATGTTGTGTGAGTAGATCAAAATGTCATAAATGAAGACAATGACAAACTAATAAATGTATGGCATGAACACCCTGTTAATCAAATCCATAAAGGTCGTTGGGGCGTTAGTCAAGCGGAAGGACATTACTAGAAATCCATAATGGCCATATCTAGTACAGAAAACAGTTTTCGGAACATCTGAGTCCCGAATCTTCAACTGAGTGTACCCCGATCTCAAGTCGATCTTAGAGAACACCTTAGCACCCTGCAACTGGTCAAAAAAATCATCAATACACGGCAACATGTACTTGTTCAACTGGCGGTAATCAATGCACATCCGCATAATCCCATCTTTCTTCTTCACAAATAACACTAGTGCACCCCAAGGTGATACACTTGGTCTGACGAACCCCTTTGCTAAAAACTCCTCAAGCCGCTTCTTCAACTCTTTCTGAGCCATACGGTATGGTGGGATAGATATAGGATGGGTAACTAGAGCCAAGGCAATACAAAAATTGATATCACGATCTGGTAGCATGCTTGGAAGGTCAGAAGGATCTCTACCGCAGACAAAAATAATACCTGTGATCATGGCATCTGAGGCCACTGCATCTGGTCTGGACGATAAGGCATAGAACCTAGTAGGAGCACCGACTGATTGAATAGAAGTTGGATGACCTCCCCCTACCTGGCCTCCACCTCTAGGACGGCCCCTACCCACCTGCTCTCCACCTCTGGGTTGTCGGACGACTGGTGCTGTAATCACGGGCTGATGGCCCTGTTATACTGCCTTGCCCCGAAGTCTAGGACAAAACCTCTTCATGTGACCCAGATTCCCACACTCGGAACAACCACTCGGTACCATAGACTGCTTCCCTAAATTCTGACCCTGATAGCTTGAATAACCATCGGAAGAACCCTGAATAGCTGGTGGGTGGTATGAACTCTCTGGCATGGCACTGAAATAAGCACTGGAAGAACCCTGACGGCCTGAGTACCCACTGGAAGAACCCTGAATATCTAGATGGCGGTAAGAACTCTCTGGCATGGCACTGAAATAGGGTCGCACTGGAGCACCCCGAGGAGGCGGTGGTACTGGATATGTGGGCCTGCTAGGCTGACCCCTCCCAAATTGACCTCTTCCCCCAGCCGGGGCACCTCTAAACTCTTCATAAAAACAGAATTGCTAATCTCGTTGCATCTACTCTCTACCTCGCTGATGGTAACCCTCAATCCTCCAGGCTATCTCTACTACTAGCTTATAAGAAGTCCTCATGTCAACCTCCCGTGCCATAGTGGCCTGATAACCTAAGTGAAACCCCGCAACAAATCTCCACACTCTCTCCGCGTCAGTAGGACGTATCATAAGTGCATGGCGGGACAACTCAGAGAATCTTACCTCATAGTCGGTCACTCACATATGACCCTGCTAGAGCTGCTCAAACTGACACCGCAACTCTTCCCTCTAGGAGGGTGGAATATACCTATCCAAGAAAAGGCGTGTAAAATGATTCCAAGTCATGGGAGGAGAACCTGTTAGTCTGCCGAGAAGATGTGACTGCCACCATCTACTGGCCCTGCCCTCCAGCTGGAAAGTAGTGAAATCCACCCTATAGGAAACTAATATACTCATGTTGTGCAGGATGTCCCTGAATATATCAATGAAGTCCTGGGGATCCTCATGTCGCTCTCCCCTGAAGACAGTAGGGTGAAACCTGGCCCATCTATCTAATAGCTTCTACGGCTTGCTGGTCGCAACTGGTCTAGGCTCATGTACAACTACTGCAACTGGTTGGGCTCCGCCCACGAGTAGTTTGCTCGGTGTCTGATATACGGCAGCTGCATATCTAGCAGCCTGAGCAGTAGGGGTCCGTGCTCCCCCTTCCGCCTGAGATGTGGTTGGGTCTGCTGGAAAGAAACCAGCCTGGGTTATAGATTCCATGAACCATAGCATACAACCCACAACCTCCTGGAAGCCTGGTGCTGTCATGAAATCCATCGAGGCTGGTTGAGTTGCACGCACCTCGCCCTGCTCCTCAATAATAGGATCCTTTACTGAATCTGCTGGTGGTATAGCCGGAGCAACTCTATGTTACACCCCATGTTTTTGTATATGAAAGTAATCCATAAGTAAATTGATGAAAGCTTGGAAAAATGAGATGTTGCATCCCGCATTTTCATACGTTAAAGTTTCGTCGTAAGCTAATCAACGTAAGATCGGGAATGAGATTATTTTGAGATTATAAGCATCATGCTATTTCAAACAAGTGATGAGTAAATTCGTAAAGTTGTGAGGGTAAGTAAATCAAAGAAAATGAATTTCGTCGAAGTTTGACATTTTGGGATAAAATACGGTCCGAGCTAAAATACCCGGTATTTATGGATTAGTACTATACAAGGCACCACATGGCCATGATAATAAGGTGTATAAGGTGTGTTTAAAGTGAGTAGTATTATAAGTAATTTGAGATAATTCTTAATTATTTGGATAATCGGGTAATTATTGATTTTAGTGGTAGATTAACAATTAATTAAGATAATTTGTTGCTAATTATTGGATAAGATCCTTAACGTGGCAGCAAGCCACCCAAGACCTATGACTCTTAAATCTTGTGGATTATGTGGCAAAGATGAAGGATATGTGGTTAAGCCACCATATAAAGTGGGGACCACATTCATGTATAAGAAATTTAAACTTAAGAGTCTTAAACTTAAGAGTCTTATGACTCACGTTATTATCCACATGCACATCACGTTATTATCTATAACTTAAGAGTCTTATGACTCTTAAAGAATATCAGCATGTTATTTGGGTCATTTAATATGCATCTGCATATAGCATATAAGCAACGCAATACCTTCAACAATTCAAATCAAAGTGAGATTTTGTATTTATAACGGAGTACGGTGTAATGTTTCTCAAGAATATCATACGAATTTTTCCTTACTCTGATCTTGCCATTACGTGTTGTCGAAATTGACATATGTTAGAGGGATTGTCAAGAGAATCAACTCAGGTATGTTAAGGCTATCCCTTCTTTCTTTTTGGCATGATATATGCGACACGAACGAAACGAGCAAATGCACAACTTCCATAAATGACTCTATTCATAGAAGTATTAGAGATGCCTATGTTCTTGAATTCCCATATGTCTTATTATTCTATCACCTGTTCATGCGTCTTAAAAAATACGTAAGTTGATAAGTTTGATTCATTATAATAATCATAGGTATAATGGTGTTTTGACGTTCCGAGAGATTTTATTGACGTACTTCTCATCCATTGCATTCATTAATACATGTACATTGACCCATGACCAGTGGCGTTATATACGCGTATATATA